GGTCATCTGTCCAGGTCAGAGTGCAGGCAGTGCTGGGTGCCTGCCCACTGCTGTGGCCTCCTGAGGAAGTGGGTCTTTGCACCATTGCCTCAAGGAGGGGTGTGTGTGTGTGTGACAGTTCATGTTGGTGAATCCTGGCCACTAGTTCCTTCCTTTGAGGCTATGCCATGTCCTCTTGACCCTTCTTGTGAATCTGTCAGGAGAAAGGTGCTAGTACTCTTGAGGCACCAAAGGGGACAAGGACGAGGATTCCTGCAGACCACTGCTACAGCTGGGAAACGGGCCGAGAGCCTCCCCAGGGCACTGGCTGTGGCAGCAGTGTTTGCTGGGACAGCCCAGTCCTAGTGGGAACCCTGCTCTGTGTCCTTCCCCAGGGTGAGTTAAGTTTTCATTCCCTTACCTCCCCAGCCCTGCAGGGGATGGCAGTTTAAGTCTTTGGCGCCCTTGACTTTGGATTTCAAGCAAGCTGATCACAAGTTCATCCTTCTGTAGGGACTTAATTAACCCACTGGTTTTGTCATTTCAATTACAGTAGCCCAATTTGACCTACCCCCCTAATACTTTGAAATCACTCTCCTCAAAAGTTGTGCGGTCATGCCTTTGGCCCTGGCGGGCTGCCGGCCCTGCTTCTGAGCCAGCCTCCCTTGCGCGGCAGGGAGGCCCGATGCCTCCTTTGAAGGCAGCACCCCTGCCCCCTGCAGTCATTGCCCCCCGAAAGCACTTTAAACTCAACCCACACCCCGCTGCTGGGAGGGCCTCGGTGGAGAGAGGGCTGCGTGTTGTTAGTTGGGTTTGGATTTCAGTACTGGAGTTGATAGAATGAGATAAACCCAGGCTCACTAGGGCCGTGGAAATTAAACAGAGATGATATCAAAGTTCCCCTGAGTTTTCAGCTGTGATACAGTAGCTTAGTTTTCTCCCAGACTGGGGCCGGGAGGCAGGCCTTTGATTCCGAAACAATGTTCAGCATCAGTGAAGCCCTGCTGCTGACTTTTAGGGATTAAGCACACTGTTGTGGTAATTCTTTGATCAGCTACAAGGGAGCAGTGTGCCGGCTGTGTGAAGGGGCTTCATATTTAAAGTTCATTTCTCTGTGAACCTGGGATGACAGCATCGGTGAGGTGCTGCAATGCTGGCATGAGGGCCTCCCAGCGCTGTTGGCAGCAGGGCAAGCAAGAGCGGGCAGCAGGTTCCTCCCAGCCCGTGTACAGTATGTCAAACATGGTGTGCCGGGCAAAGTGCACCATGGATCAGGTGAACCCTCCTCATCTTGCCCAGTCCATGCCACACCTGTGTGCACATGATCAGGCACACACCCACTCATGCCTTGGGGTAGAACCTCTTGATCAGACACCAACAGCTGCCTGGAGCTAAGCTTTGCAGCCCCGAGCTTGCAAATAACCTTGCAGAGGCTGTATGCTTACTCAAGGTAGAGGTTGGGTGGGGATTGAAACCAGATGACCCCTAGGCTAAATTAGGACAGCTCAAGGTCAGTGTCACTATGATCTGGAGCAGACAGAGCAGATGGGACCCTCAGTGCCCCACCTTCCTTCTTTCCTTGGCCTTTGTTGAGAACTGACTTGGATTCAGACCTGCTTAACACTGAAGTTCTACTGTCTTGCTGTTCAAAACACTGGGTCCACTTTTGCTTTCCCTGTAGAGACCCTCCTTGCGCCACAGCTGGATGGCAAGGTTTCCCAGTGGGCTCCCCTGCTCCTGGTTGGCCCCGAAGCTTGTGGCTGGTAATGGAGCCCCTGTGTGCTGTCGATCCTGCATGCACCAGGCCGTTCATCAACCTGTTCCCTCCTGTGCTATGCTCGGATCTCCCTCATTAGGCCTGAATTTACCTCCATCCTACACAAACATGGCCTTAGCTCATTTTTATTGTTGTAAATTATTTATGAGGGGAATGTTGAATCTTGAAACTGAGGTGTGAGGAAAATTAATCCCATGTTACTTTTATCTTTCTGTACTTTTCTCTCCCTTGCTTGACTTATTGAGCTGTGGCCAGAGAAAGAAGAGCTTTGGCATTTTAAAATATAATTAGTGTTGAAACTGCTTTTCCAATTGGGCGGGTGGCTGCTCTCTGCGCACAGTGCAATGGAAAGCAGGCCAGACCAGGGAGGCCATGTCTCTGCAGCCGCCATCCCTGCAGTGTCTGAGAACTCAGGATGCTTCCTCTCCTGTAAAATAGGGAGATAACATGGCCGGGTCACATCCCAGGTGTGATGTGAGCATCAACTGAAAAGGAGCCTGAGAAGGTTTTTTGAGGTTTACAAAGTGCTGTACAAACAAAGCAGAGGTATGTCTGCGTGTTTTGTGCAGTCTTGGTGTCACTGGATGAGGAGCTGCTGCAAGCAGGCCTAAGGATTTGGTGTTTTCTCCAGTATTGCATCCTGCCAGGCAGGTTAAAATTGGTCTTAAACACCCAGGCTCCCCTGTCCCCCACCCCTCAGATTCCATGTGCAGGCTCACATCCACCCTTCTTCTTCCCCTGGCTGCAGCCTGGCCTGCGACCCTGGGCTGCAGAGGATGCACAGTGCCCTCCCTTCTGGCTGGAGGCTCAGCAGCTTGGGCAGCCTGGAGTGCTAGTTAATAAATGGCCTTTTGTTAGGAAGGTCAATTGAAGTGACGGTGGAGACGCTGTTAAAAGTAATTTGCAGTCAGAAAATATGTAATTCAGGGCAAGCTGCTTTGAGCGATGGCCTCTGCCATGGATATCTTGGGCGTTTCTCATTAAAAGCCTCCTTGGCTCTGGTGGGGCTTCCTGCACCGGCGAGTGGGCCGCAGCCCCGCACCCAGGGCGGCCATTTGTCTCTGTTGCACAAAGGCTGCCTTGATCCCCTGGGCACCGCAACTGGGGGGAAGGGGAGAAGGGCGGGGGCGTGCGGCAGGGGCCTGCTGTGTCTGGGCCCTGCAGGCTGGCCAGGCCGGGGCTGCGCGGAAGCCCAGGCTCCTTTGTCCGCCCCAGCTGGAGGCCGCCCGCAGCCATCTTGGAGGCTGCTGGGCGCCCGGTGCATCCTGGGAGACCGCCTCCTGCGGTTGGCAGCGGCCGCGGTTGACAGGGGCCAGCGGGGCGAATCCCACACCCCTTGTCTTGTTCACCTTCCCTCGCTCTGATGGTAGAGGCAGTAGTGTCTTAACAAACAAGTACCCACATGCTCTTTATCAGTCCTCAGTGCGGTAGTGAGCACTGGCAGAATTGGTCCATTCTGTTAATGAGTCGTTACTTTTGCAAAGCACTTTTGGTAACCGATAGCAGGTACCAGTATCTTGTACGCTGCAGCAACGTCGTTTTCACGTTCCCAATAAGACACGATTTTTTGAGTGCAGACTGTTTGATCAGTGCTTGTTTTGAATCAGGCAGCTACAGATATTTAACTCAAAATCTGTATTGGGGGCCTGCCTCCATAGCCACTCAGTAAATATTTATTTAATGCCTACTGGATACAGGAAGCACTAACCTTCGTGCTTTATGTAGATAAACCTGCCTGGTAAATGAAATTTGAAAATGGGAAATGATGCAGTATGGTTTCTACCCCTGTCCTAGACTTGGGCAAGTTTATCAATGCATTGGCAAGTCCGTTTCTGTAGCTTTCTGTGGGTTCCACTGGTTGCATGTGTGACTTGCACGCAGCATTTTGACTGTTCCTAATTAGCAGCCTGCAGTCATTTCTAGTGGTCCCCTGTTCTTTCTGATTTTCTTTTCCCTGCTGCTGTACTGGGGGTGCAATCCAGGTTTTCATGTATGCGAGGCAAGCAATCTACCATTGAGCCAACATCCTTCAGCCCTGCCTTTTCTGATTCCAGGCTAAGAATGTTCCTCCTACCTGCCTAGTTAGGCAGGGTGTTTGGTTTTCTTTTGAAGCAGTAACTGGCCTTAAGAGAGCTGGCAGAACTATAGTCAGTGGAGTTTAATTGTTACAGAAGGAGGTGGAATTTAACTTGCTCTTTTCACTGCTGCTTCTTTAAAAGTACTTAAGTTCATTTACATAAGGTGTTGCCTTCTTTATTTGCTTTCTGGTGCACTTGGACTGCCTGAGTACAGTGCTGTCCACGCTACACCTGTCTCCTCTGGCCCTGTCAAGAGGCAGTCTGCAGCAGCAGAATAATTCCATTTCCCCTCCCTTTCACCAGCAAGAATTAGGGTCATTGTCAGTGTTTAGCTTTGAGTAAGTGCCCACGTGACCTGGGGTTAAACACAACAAAGGGATCTGCCAGTCCTCTAGGGGTGGTGCTGCCTTTGTTTCTGGCCAGTCACTCTGGGTCTGTTGCCCCAATTCTGCCAGTCTCATCTGCTTTTTTATTAAGTGCCCACTCCATGTCAGGGACCTCTCCAAGCCCTTCTTTTACTTCGATGCTCTTAGTTCTTGCACCAATTCTCAGAGTGTAAGTATCATGACTCCATTTTATAGTAGAGAAAAATTGAGGCTCCAGGAGGTTTGGCTTCTTGCTCTAGATCACCACTAGAATGTGATAGAGCCTGAACTCAATGCTCTGCCTTTGCCCAGTGCCCAGAACACTTCTCTGTATTTGCAAAGCTGCTTGCATGTTTGCAGAGCTCAGCCTCGGCACTGCACGGTAGAGGCAGTGCGCTCGGAAGCCCACACCTCCAGAAGGAGTGAGCAGAAGGGAGAGAAACAGAGGCTGTCGTTAGACATAGCCACGTCTGAGCGATCCTCAGTGGAGCTGCTGGTATCTGTTACAAAATCAGACAGCTGGACGGTGGAGTTAAGAATGATGTGCTTTTGGGTTTGAGTCGAAATTTCCTCCTGGGAGCAGGCAGGGACAAGCCCTCAGTTTTCAAAGCTCACTTGAGGAGAGCAGAGGCCAGAGGTGATTGAATTCTTGGTCTGAGTGAAGGGTCAGCCAGCTGAGGTGTGTGGCGTGTGGCTGGGGACAATTGCCATGTATTATGGTTCTGGTTGCTGAGACTTTGTATTGTTTGTCTTAAACACTAAGTTTGAATTCTGTGCTTTCTTTTTCTTTTTCTGAACCAGGACCAATCCACCATGCCTGAAGTCAAAGACCTTTCGGAAGCCTTGCCAGAGACGTCCATGGACCCCATCACGGGAGTCGGGGTGGTGGCTTCCCGGAACCGAGCCCCAGCAGGCTATGATGTAGTGAGTCAAGACACTAGTTTGTACACTTTGCTCACTGATTCAGTAAATACTTACCTTCTGTGTCTGAGACCTTCTGACCCTGTGTGTAAGATGTGCTTCTTCCCCCTAGGAACTTAATCAGAGGTGGGAGACCAGTGCCAGTGGGAGGGCTCTGGGAATGTGCTGGTTTGGGAGTCAGAAGACGGAGCCAGTCAGGGCTGTATCCTAGCTTTGAATGTGGCTGAGTCATTTGACTTCAGTGACGGTCATTTTCACCTTCTGAAAAATTAAGGGGTTGGGCTCACTGATTTCCAAAGTCACTTCTAGTTGTGACATTTCATGACAAGGATCCAAAACTCTGTGAAAGACCCTGGTGGTTGTCATACATGTATAAATGCTACAAACGTGTTGTCGTACGCCGAATGGCTCTTTGCAGTTCACAGAAATGTCCTATCCGTGAATTCTTTTAGCTCTCTGAGTCCCTGGAAGTCTGGGAGAACACACAGTTTTGTCTCTGCTTTGTCAATTAGAACTTAAGCTCTAAGAAGTGAGGTGACAGAGTCCTTATCCTTGGATATGGTGATTAATCAGGACCAAACACTCTTGGTGGAGCACTTGCTTTGCCCCACACCTCGTGCTGTGCGCAGTAGTCCCATACGACAGGACTGGCCCTTCTGTTAGTTCAGTGACAAATTTCCACACAGGATTGCAGAGTGACACCAGGGGGGTTAATGGTGAATGTCATCCTGTGTTTGAGATTCTAAGGTGATTTTATTTTTACTTCCTATTTTGTTTACACCTTATTCTTGTACATTGAAAATGTATATCAAGAATACATAAAAATAGAAGAGTGCTGGTCTCCTTAGCCAGCACAGAAAAAAACACCTCACAGTGATTAGGTCAGCATCTAACGTCCTGGGGTGGGAAGGCCCTAATGCCTGGTCCTGAAGAAGCCCTGAGTCCCGGATTCTTAGTCTAGTGCTGTTGACATTTGGGGCCAGACAGTCCTGCAGCTCTGTGCTGTGGGACTCCTGTGCATCACAGGAGCTGAACGTCCCTGGCCTCCACCCAGTCCAGGGAGTAGCAGCTGCCACTCTTCCCCCAGTGGAGATGATCAGAAATGTCTCCAGATATTTCCAGATGATCCCAGGAGGAGGGAAGGTGGGTAAAATCAGCCCAACTGAGAACTGCTGCGGTCACATAGGTTGTGCCAGGTGGGTCAGTGTGGGTCTGAGTGCAGGCAGAGGGGCCTGTTAAAATGCTCCACATCACTTTCCCAACTTTTCAGAATGTTTTAAACATTTTAAAAGTGAAAGAACGAGGGGATCTTTTTTGACAAAGGTTTGAGGGTTACCTGCTGCCTGTCTTCAAAGCCCTGTTGGAATGTAAAACTTTCCATAAAGTAGAACCACTAGGTATGGCTTTTGCCATAAAACTTTTAGGAAAGCTAATAAAAATGTTTCTGATTTGAGAAGCCAAAGTGTCTTTGGATGAGTTGGATGGTGAATCAAGACAGGCTGAGCGCTCGCCCTGTGGGAGGGTGGGCCCTGGGGTCCCTCTCCTGGGAGGCCTCGGGGAGCTTGCACACTGGGCCTGGCTTGCTGCCCTGCCGTTGCTCCCCTGTTGAGCTGCATCTATAACATTCTGTTGGCACCTTTGGGGTCATCTTGAATGCTTGGCTAGTGGGTGGCAGATGGCCTTTGATGGTTTGGTTTTCTGAAAGTCTCGGGGAGCCTGACAGGAGCACAATCCATCCCTATCATTTTCTCCTAACATCTAGCTCAGGGCAGAAGAGCGCGGTGTCAAATGAATAAAATTAATAAGCACATTTCATGATCATGCTGTACCATGCATTTTAGTGGAAGGTGAGCAGGGCAAGGGGCTTGAGCTAGATCGCCTGGTAATTACCCAGCCTCCATGCGCGGCCAAGAATGAGATGTCTGTGGGCTCCCTCTAAGAGGGAGAGGGGTGGGAGTTGTCTCTTTGTTCTGGTCTCTTTTCAGATAAGCATCTTGTTCCCCAGAGGACTGGCCCTAGGTTCAGGGGGATGGTGGGAAGGGCCCTGGGAGAAGGGTTGCTTCCCCATTCTTCACATACGGAGTTTCATATGAAGTTGTGGAGTTTGATAGTGACCTCTGAGGAGGTCCAGAGGATGAGGGTGCCCTGCTGCCAACGGTGGTGAGACCTCTCCCTGTCTGTCACATGGGCCTCAGGGTTAGCCCCCTGCACAGGTATATTGAGCACAATGACCCTGAAGTCCTGCGAGTCAGGCACCCAAGGGCGGCTGGCCCTGTCACACAGCTGCTTTAAAGTGGGTTTAGGCGCCATTGCTGCTTGACATTAAAATTGCCAAAGGTTCATTTATAAAAATCTAATTTAATGACTTCACTTCCCTTCCAGTCAAGGGTAGCTTCTTAGGTTAAGAGGCTAGGGACTATTTGCTAAACTTCTCAACTTATTGTCCCATTTCTGTGGTCTTTTCTGAAATGGCCTCCTCTTTGTGTCCTGCAGCCACACTCTCAAATCTGGGAATGACTGGGGCTGATGTTCCATGCCGTCAGGAGTTGGGTGGGTCTTGTGGTTCTGGGATGCCCCAGCCCTGGCCTCATGACTCTCTGCTGCAGGTGCCTGGCATTGGCCAAAGGCAGCGCATGCCATTTCATCTTCTGGGGATGGGGAATTTTGGAAGGATTGTAATGCAGTGAGAAACGCTTCATGCTACAGCTTATCACCCAGAATGAAACTTCTAATTCTAGGCCACACTGGGATGTCCTGTGTCTCAGGGGCATCGGACTAGACCTCACTGAGGATCACTGTGGGGCATATTTCCTGTATTCCCAGTGACATGTCTTACCTTTTACATACACTCATGAATGCTTACAGCTCAGACCAATGTCACAACATTGTGTGTGTGAGGTGGCCCTGAACCGTCATACCTGTGAAGCCGCTTTTCCGTGTTGCCCTTACTTTTGGTAAAAATGTGACCATCCTTTGAAGCCCAGCTCACACCATACCTTGGAGAGACTCTTTGTTAGCGGTGCTCTTTCGACACTCTACTTGGCTTCACAGGTTTTATTGGCCACCTACTGCTGTACAAGACACTAGAAGTCCTATATTCTGGGGCATTGGGCTCCAGGAGGTGAAAGGTCAGAGATGAAGACAGACGGATGAGGCCAGGTTACAACAGAGTTCTGAGCCATACTGAGGAGCGTGGTTATTATTCTGGAGGGTTAGGTTAGTCAAGTTTGTGTTTCAGGAGTTCACAGGTAAGTACAGGAAGGAAAATGGTTGGAGAGGATAGATGTTGAGGCAGGTGGGTGAGTTTGGAGGCTGTTAGGACAGAGAGAAGATGGGGCCTCACGGGGCAGCTGACAGTGCCAGTGGAGAGAGGTAGGAGATCTGGGGGAACCAGGCGCACCATCTCTGAGTGCTGGCCCTGGGTGCAAAGGTGAGAAAAGGGAAGGGTGAGAGTGACACAGGGATCCCTAACTGGGCAGCTGGGTGGACTTGAGTGTTCTCTGTTGAGACAGGAGCAGAGCCATGTGGGTGGGGTGGGGGAGGGAGAGAAGCGGGGCTGTTTTGGATGCCTCAGTTTGACGTGCTCGTGCATCATCCAGGCGGAGCCCTCGTCCTGAGGTCTAGAGAGAGGGCTGAGGGTCATTCTCATAAAGCAGGGACTGGGCACAGCCGGCCTCAGCCAGGGAGAGGCTGGGGAGCCAGAAGATACTGTGTCTGACAGGGTCACATCGAGTCCCACAGATAATCATGGATTGAGGATGGGCAGAGCAGTCTCAGGAGCAGGGCTGGGTGGACTTGAGGAGTATGGGGGACAACACTGAGGAGTGTGGGAGGCCTTGAAGGGGAGGAGGCGGGAAGGTGGTGCCAGAGGATGGCTTGGCATCCTGGGCCTGTCCCTGGCTTACAGGTGGTCGAGTGTTGAGCAGGTTCAGTGAGGGAGGGGCGTGGACCCAGGAGAGGGAGGGGCAGAGGGGTTGGGACCAGGGGTCCAGGAGGTTATGTTTGGTTAGCTTTTGCTCCATCCTGCTGCGTGGGCTGGGACGCCATCCTTGGGTACGGCCTCTGAGACAGGTAAACCCACACAGGTCCGTGGGGAGAGACCCTTAGAAAATGGAGACCTCTGAAAACACAAGTTAGTTGGGCTGTGTCTTCAGGTTCAGATCAACAGAACATTCAGTATATGCTTGTAAGATATTGGATATATTATAAATTAAAATGTCATCCACCTGGGGAACCTATAAGACATGCCCATGAGTGATTAATGGCTGGACTGTTGGACCAAAGAGGAGCCTCTGACTTCCAAGGGTAGGTGGTTGCCATGGGACTTGGTTTCCAAGGAATTTTGTAAACATTTTCCAAATCATCAAAATCTCATGATGGCTCGAGCGCTTAAGACTCCACCCTGTGAAAATTGTACATGTCACCAGAGAGCCCCAACCTGAGCTGTTCGTCCTCTCCTCTGAGAGGCGAGGGTTGCCTGCACTCCCTCTGAGTGTGACCTTCTTTGTTGTCCTTAAGTAAATCTTTACCTGTGCTATTGACTCCCTCTGAGGACCTGAGATTCCCCCACTGTCCTCCCTTCCTCTGGTGACACTCTGGCCACGCTCCGTATCCATGGGCAGCGTGTGGACAAGCTGTCAGTGCTTTCCCTCCCTCCTCCTCCTCTCCCTTCTTTCTTTCTTCCAACAGTGTTGAAACTAATTAGGCAATAAAACATTGCTTAAAACTGTTGGGCCTACATAATTTATATATGCCCAACATGTATTAGGAGTTTTCTGGATAATTGGAGTTTCACATGCTTGAACAGTAAGATGGAAGGGGTTGTGTTAGTCAGCTTTTGTTGCAGTGACAAAATATCCAACACTGACAACTTAAACGGGAGAAAGACTTATTTGGGTTCAGGGCTTCAGAGGTTTCCGTCCGTAGTCTGCTGGCCCCATCACTTTGGGCCTGATTTGAGGCAGAACATCATGGTGAAGGGCATGGTGGAAGAAAGCTGTGCA